AATTAAAATAGAATAGTAGGAATTAGAATAAAATAGAATAGAATATAGGAATAGAACAGAATAGAACATAGGAACAGAATAACAGAGTCGGAAGGGACCTTGTGGGTCATCTAGTCCAACCCCCCACCCAAGCAGGAGACCCTACTCCATTTCTGACAGATGGCAGTCCAGTCTCTTCTTGAAAGCTTCCAGGGATGAAGCTCCCACAACTTCTGAAGGCAACTTTTGGAGTTCTAGTCCTGCCTTAGCCACGAAACCCAGCTGGGTGACTTTGGACCCACCCGGAGACAGGAAGTTCTCGTCCCTCCTCCTTTGTGAAAGCCAGCTGGGTGACTTCTGGCCAAGTTGCTCTTCTTTTCTCAGCCCAGCCCCACCTCACAGGGTTGTTGTTGTTGTTGTGTGGGGGAAAAATAGGAGGACCCCGGAGGTGTGTTGGATACATTTGCCGGTGTAGGACGTTAGCACCCACCTCTCTCCTAGAAAAAAAGAAATACCGTATTTGCCGGCGTATAAGACGACCCGGCGTATAAGACGACCCCCCACCACCACTGGAAACGCCCTCCAGAAATCCCCGGGGCTGCAGCGGCAGGGCAGAGTGCCAGGGGCCGTGGGAAGAGCAGTAAGGCTGCAGCCTCGGGCGGAGCGAGGCGAGCGGGATGAAGCGGAAGCGACGCAGGGGATCCAGGAAGCCAGAGGCGCCTTCGCTGCGTCCAACAAGCCTCCGAAAGCCGGCAGTGGATATACCGGCGTATAAGACGACCCCCCCACTTGGAGGCATGTTTTTCGGGGCAAAAAAGTCGTCTTATACGACGGCAAATACGGTATACTGGGAAATATTAAAAAGGCAGAATATTTCCCCTAAAAAGAGTAGAAACTCAGAAGCAGAAACTCACCCCAGAGAGGCAGAAACTCAGCCTCTCCCCCCCCCACCTTTAGCTAATGGGCCATTAAGGCCTGGGCCAGAGTATTCTACATAACAAAGGCCTCTACCCCACCTCACACACCTGGCCTGGGGAGATTGCATCAGCCAGCACTCAGGTGAAGCCGTGTGGTCCAGGCAAAGCCTACAAAGTTAATGAAGACCCCCCACCCCTGGGTGTCCATGGGATACATTTCTTGCACAGGAAAACAGGAAACACGGATGGTGTAAAACTAAGGGTCTCTCAGCCTCTTTCCTTCTTCCAGGGCACGTGGTCCTGTCCACCATTAAACCAACTTTCCAAACAGCCCCCCATGTTCCCAGTGTCTTTCTCCCCACTTGGAACTGAACCCAGAAGGATAATTCTTCCAACACCAGGCTGAGTTCTTTGCAAACGCCATAAAGGCGTTTAAAGAAAGTTAAAATAAATAAAATAAGATTCATCAGAATCTCCCCTTTTGACGGAAATTCTGTAAAAGGGGAAGGGCAAATTCGGCCGTGGAAGGAGGAGAAGGGAAAAAAAATGTGTGTGTGTGTGTGTGTGTGACACTTATACTTTCCCAGGACTAATTTAGGCAAAGGGCAGCCGCCGGCACCCAGGGGTCTATTTATAACCAAGCCCCATTTGTTCTGTTTGTGTGTCTGTCTGTGTGAGATATGCAGAAGTTGACAGGTGCTGATGACAGGCCTGTCTTGGCAGGGCTGAGTCTCCCCCCCCCTGCCCCTCCCCCCTCCCCAAGGACCCTGGAAAGCAAGATGGGTTTTTCCACCCGTAACCAGGGCGGGGCAAAGGGGCAGGCAGGGGGTGGGGGCTTTGGCCTTGTGCAAGGGTAGATAAGGGGCAGGCAGAGCCTCCTTCCTCTTCAGTTTGAGGAGAGAGAGGGGGAGAGAAAGGGAGACAGAGAGAGAGAGAAAAGACAAGAGAGAAAGAAAAAGAAAAAGAAAAGAGATCAAAAGAGAGTAGGAAAAGACATAGAGAGAAGAGAGAAAAGACAGAGAAGAGAGGGAACGAGAAAGAGGGAAAAAAGAGAAAGAGAGAGAGAAAACTCTCCCATCCTTTCATTGAATTGTAATAAGCCGTCTTGCCCTCCGGAGAAGATGAAATACATAATAGGAATAGGAGGGTAAGTTTTTCTCCCCCTTCCCTCTCCTCCCCTCCCCGTGTGAAACCGACAAAACCGCAAAAAAAAATTATTCAGTTTTTTCTCGGCTTGTTTTTTTGCTTCCTTGGGAATTATTACTATTATTACTATTATTACTATTATTACTATTATTACTATTATTACTATTACTATTATTATTATTATTATTATTATTATTATTATTATTATCATCATCATTATTAATTTCCATTCTCCACGCTTTGTGCCTTGATTCAATATTTCATCTTCATCATTTCTTGGGGTTTTTCTTTCCTTCTTTTTAACGTTTCGCGCTTCAGGTATTTGTTTCTTTATTTCATTGAATGCGATCGCTTTCAAAAAACAAAAACTTTGACGTCGTGGGGACGATGAGAGACCCGCGCGGGGGCTTTGAAATACCTTCAGTTTCCCCCAAAGGTGGAATATTTGGGGGCGAAGGCAAAAGCGGCGGCAAAATCCGGGCGCTGAAATCTCTCCAGATGTTGGTTGGTTGATTTATTCGTTCATTCGATTCCTTCGATTCCTCCAGCCGCTCATTTCAATGAATGAGGCTGAGCAATTCGGCGTTTGCTGCTGGAGATGCTTGAGGGAGGATTGAAGGCTCGGAAGTGGCGGGGTTTCTGGTTCGGTGCTGGGGAGGGGGAAATTTCCCTCCCCCCCAAGACTTTTTAGGAGTTTTTCGGTTTCGAGGAGGAAAAGAAAACGGGAATTGCGAACGGGATTGGAGGAAAACCAATGGGAAAAAAAAGAATCATCCCTAACTCTGCCAAGAAGCTACAAAGATAAAATACAGATTTTACAGAGTTGGAAGGGACCTTAGAGGTCTTCTAGCCCAACCCCGCCCCCGCCCCGAAATAAAATATGTTTTTTAAATAAAATAAAATAAAATGGAAACCTCTCCTGAAGAGAGTTTCCTCTTTCAATCTCCGATGGGAACATATTTCAATCGAGGGACCTTAAGAGGTCTTCTAGTCCAACCCTCCTCCCCCCTCGCTCAAGCCACAGACAGAGATATCCGTTCCTGGCCGTTTTTAATACATGGATATATTGGGTCTCTTCCAAGACAAGCGGATTATGACCTTTTCGGTCACTGATGGACAGGAGAGAAACCCATGGATAAGATTTATTGATTTATTAAATATATACGCCGCTCCCCCTCCCGCTGTCGGGCGACTCTGAGCGTTTTCGGATCCGATACAACAATCTAAAACAAATTAAGGCATAAATAAATATAATATTCACCAAGAAATAGCTCTTCCGGAGGCCGTTTTGCATTTGCACAGGGAAATTTTGGGGCCCTGGCTGGGTAAGCTTTTTTTTTTTTTTGTAAAAAGCATCCGGGAGGAGGAAATCCGGAGCGGGTTTTGCAAAATAAACAGGGATTAAAATTTTACCCTCTGCCAAAGCCTGCATTGATGGTTTAACTTTAGGTTAAAAAGGAGCAATTTTGCCATTCCTTGACATTCCCTCAGAATAACAGAGTTGGAAGGGACCTTGTAGGTCATCTAGTCCAGGCCCCCCCCCCCCCCCCCCCCGCCGAAGCAGGAGACCCTACTCCATTTCTGAGAGATGGCAGTCCAGTCTCTAGTGAACAGATAATCAACAGTTGGAAGGGGTCTTGTAGGTCATCTAGTCCACCACTCCTACCCCTACACAATTTCTGACAAGGGTATTGGGTCCTTGTCTCTCCAAATGGAAGGTTTCAAGAAGTCTGCCATCCGTCAGAAAAGGTGTAGGGTCTCCTGCTTGGGTGGGGGGGGGTGTTGGACTAGATGACCTCTAAGGACTCTGTTAATCTGTTAAATCTGGACAGAAAGTTCTCCAAGGCAAGCAGTGGTTAGATGGTTTTTTTGGGGGGGGGATGTGTTGATGCCTTTTTTCACCCGAGTCTCCCCCCCCCCCCCTTGTGGGAGAATCAGGGGGGTCTCTGGGGGGGGTGAGGGGAGGAAATGTTCTTTTAGCCGTTTCTTATTTCTACTGTAATTCTTTTTTTTTTTAAGGCCCAGATTGTAATATTTTTCTTTTGAAATGGAAGAATAGCCCTGAATTTTGTAAGGGAGATGGGAGGCGTAGCAATTTTATTTTATTCATTTATTGGATTCTTTTTGGTTTTTTTATTTTTATTTTTTGTTTTAAATATGGTTTTACATTGTGTAAGCGGACTAGATGACCGTCAAGGTCGCTTCCAACTGTTATTCTGTTCCTATATTCTATTCTGTTTTAATTCCTGTTCTATTCTATTTTATTCTAATTCCTATATTCTATTCTAATTCCTATTCTAATTCCTATATTCTAGTTTAATTCCTATATTCTATTCTATTTTAATTCCTATTCTATTCATTCTAATTCCTATATTCTAGTTTATTTTAATTCCTATATTCTATTCTATTTTAATTCTTATTCTATTCTATTTCCTATTTTATTCTAATTTTATTTTAATTCCTATATTCTATTCTAATTCCTATTCTATTCTTCTATATTCTAGTTTATTTTAATTCCTATTCTATTCTATTTCCTATTCTAAATTAATAAATACATTTAATAAATAAGAATAAAGAGAAATTGATGATACGCCTCGCCCCCTCCCAAACGGCTGCAACAGCGTAGGAGGGCTCGTCCAGTCACCCCCGCCCCACATTTTCTCCCGTCCCCCCCACTCGCCCCCAGCCCCAAATCCAGTACGACCCCTTGCCCCCCCCCC